CCTCCGCCCCGCTCGGGGCGCCTTCTCCCCGCGCTCCGCTCTCTGCGCGCGCGGCGGCCTCGGCGGCGTCTCGGAGCGGGGGTCCGGGCCCGGGAGCAGCTCTGCGACTCGAGAGGCTGCTGTCTTTTGCAACGCTCCAGCTAAACGTTTGCTTCAGCCTTCGCTGCGCTTCCTCTTTCGGGCGGTTGCGCAAGCTTCCTGCCCGCAGGGCGCCGGCCAGGGCTGCCGAGAGGCCCAGGGGGCGGGTGGGGCCGACGGAGCGGAGCGGGCGCCCCACGGGGTGCTTCCCCGTACCCCGTCTTTACCGATGGAAAGGAGTGAGGCAAAGCGCAAGGCCCCCTGACCCCTCGATGTGTCCCCCCGAAGGACCGGTTGGAAAGGACCTGCGACGGCTGGCAGTGGCCTCTCCTGGGAGAAGGTGGTAGGGGCGCGAGGCCTACGAGGCCTGAAAAGGCAGAAGTTAAAATCGGTTACGATCCGTAAATACGGTTGAATTAGGCTCCTCTGCCCCTACACAGCTGTGTCTAAAAGGCTTGTGTGTGGGAAGGCGGCAAAGACCCGAAGACAGAAATGAGACACATACATTAATAAGATAATTCCAGACAGTACGTTCATACAACGAGAAATTACTTATGAAGCACTTACTCTTCCAAAAATAATGACAACAGGGATGAAGAAAATAGAATTCCTTCTGTGGTTGATAGTGCTTTCTAGATGGTAGAGAACAGACAATAAACAAATTAATAGCAAGTCGAGTAATGCGCTTTGGCAGGAATTAAAAGGTGAAAGGTAGAGAGTGATGGGCGTGGGGTAAGCTTGCTGTATTGATGAGGTCCCCGCCCCCGCAAGGAACTGTCCGGCAAGTCACACAGAGCCACACCTAGGTGAGCTGAGGAATTCGTTGAGGTTGGGCTTTTGGATGTGAAAGTTCCTGGCAGAAGAGCAACACTTTCAAAGGCCCCGCCTTAGGAGAGCTCTTGAGGTGTGCGGGGAACAGCAAGGAAGCCAGTGTGTCTAGAGCAACCAGGGGTATAGATGAAGAGAAAAACAGGAGGAGAAGAAGACCGGGTAGCCTATGGCCCTGATTCCAGAGTGAAGAAAGTCGCTAGAAGGAAGGACCTTCAGAGGGCAAAGCGAACAGCAGAATAGAGAGTGGCTTTCTGGGAAGAGGGAAAGTGTGGTTAAAGAACACCCCTTGGAACAGCAACCACCAGAGACATGACAAAGCATTCCTCAAGAAGAAAGAGCAAGAGAAAGCTTTGGGAAAGGAACATGGAAAGTTAGAAAGAAGGCAGGCCACTGTGACCGCAATACACTGAAATAGTAGGGTGGTGGTTGAGGATGAGGATGGCCAGGTGAGCCCTGACCAGACCAAGCAGGGCTGTGTGGCTAGTGCTGAGAATTTTGGGTTGCCTTCAGGTGGGAAGCTATGAAAATGTTTAGCAACTGGGTGCATGATTTGACTTATGCTACAAGCCATCATACTGGCTCCTAATTCTTTTGACAATCAATTGAATGGGGCAAGAGAATAAGGAGGGGTGGGGGGAGAGAGCACAGTAGGCCCTGCCAATAGTCCAGATGAGAATGATGGTAGTTTGATCACTATCCCAGTGGTGGGGATGCTTTGCAGAGTTTGGATTCAAGATGAAATTTTCAAAGCAGAGCCAGCAATATTTGCTGATGGGCTGCCACTGAGGTGGGGCAGCAGAAGGGTTAGGAATAGGATATAAACCAGTGTGATTGCTGTGACAGAATCTGGTTGTGGGTCTTTGTGAAAAGGTCAGTAGACACACGTGGACCTGGCCAAGGTTGGTCTTCTCACTCCCAAGAACAATGAGAATGGGTTAAATAATATTTTAGGCTGTCAGGTGGAGAGATTCATGTTTTAGAAAAGTGACTCTGACTATAATTTGGGGAATTGATCAGATGAGAAAAAGCTAGGCTGGGAAAGAGACAATACATAGTTTCAACCGGGCTGATAACAGAGGAAACTGGAAGAAACAGTTGGAATGGAGAAGTGTTGGTGAGATTGTTGGCAGGAGACCATGATGAGCGAATAGAGGCATAATGAGGGAGAGGGAGAGGTCAAAGCCAATGACTACAAGTCAGACTTCTATCATGCTGGCCCCTGTCTGATCATGGAGACTGTTACTGGAACACTCAGGACATGTCCCGTGGTGATGAGGTAGGGGCAAGAAAGTAAAAGAAAGAAAAAAAAGAAAGAAAGTAAAACCTATAAGGGCAAAAAAAAAAAAAAAAAAAAAGATATAAGGGCAAGAAAGTAAAGCTCTTGCTAGCTGGGAGAGGGTTCTGGTAGGATACTCATGAGGGCCCTTTGCCAAGGGCAGTGGTGGTGAACCTATGGCACCAGGGTATTTACATCATTAAAAGCTCTAAAAGGTTTGCCATCATTGATCTAGCGGGTTTTAAGGAATTTAGAAGGGAGCTGAGTTGTTAAGCAATATATTCTATTCTATTCTATTCATTTATTTATTGTCTTTTTGAGACAGGGTCTTGCTATGCAGTTCAGGCTGGCCTTGAGCTCACTTTGTAGCCCAGGCTGGTCTCGAACTCGCAATGATCCTCCTGCCTGAGCCTCCCGAGTGCTGGGATTACAGGTGTGCACCACCATGCCCGGCTACGCAATATATTCTCTATCCTGAAGGAGACTGTGTATATTTTTAGGTCCAATATATGATGTGTTTATGTAGTATCCGTGCAGGGCCTGTGGGCTCTTGAGCCCATGGCCTGCTGGATCATGCTCTGCGGAGGAGGTCCCAAGCCAAGGACACCTGGGAAGATGTTTTTGTAAGATTTCTGGAGGGTTGTGACTCAGAAGACTCCATTTTGGGTTTCCTAACTCCATTTTACTGTAGCTGTCCATACTGCCTAGTACAATCCTAACTCCCAGCTCACTAATTTCTGTTACAAGGTGAGGAACTCTGTAAGAAGACTACTCCTGGAAGATAATGGGTTTTACTTTGAGCAAGTCAAGCTTGACAAGCTCTTAAGACATCTAAGTGGAAACCTCTTTGTGCTAAGAAGAATTAACTATGGACATATATGGCATCATGCATCTCAAAATAATTATGCTGCATAAAAAAGCTAGTGTACAATAGTACATAGTATTGGATGATGGTATGTATATATACAGTTCTTAAAAATTTAAAATAATCTATACTTGGAAAAAGCTCAGGAAATAGAGGGAGGAGGGAAAAGGAAAGATCACCAAGTGGAACAGTAGAATTGTAGAAGTGATGAAATGTTCACTATTTTGATTTTGGTGATGGTCACAATGGATGTGTTCACAGGTCAAAAGTGATGCAATGGTAAACTTTAAATATGTGCAGTTTACTGTCTGTCATTTTTTTTCCCAGTCTGTTTTCTTTCTTTTTTTTTTATATATTAAAGAGTAAAAAATGGATAACATAATGATAGGGCAGACTTACCAAATACTGTCCCTCATTTGTACCTCAGTAAAGCCATGAAGAAAAAAACTTTGCACAATTCATGACTTCAAAAATATGTTGCTCAAGCGCCTGCCTGGCAAGCGCAAGGTC